AAAAAAACACGTCTAACAGACAATTTGAAAGTGTTGCATCTAAAAGACGGAGAAAAATGTTCAAAACAATGAATTAAAAAAATATAAAGGATTGATGAATAATTTTGTATACAATTCAGGTAACTGAGGTACCTGATTCATATTTGGGTCCTTTCATTTTAGGACAATATAGAGAATATACAGCCAATATCATATTAATGATATTTATTCTTAATTTATATTATACTAGCATAGAAGCATACATTAATGATTAATACATCATAATATCTAAGCGTGGTATAATAGATATGAGAACAGTGAGTGAATGTATAATTTCATAATTTTAATTACCTATTAAATTATGGAATTTAAATTTTGTGTTTTTTAGTTTGTTTAATATATCAATACGACAAAACGTATCAAATAAATAGATAATTGTAAAGTCGAGAAATTTTTTTTTAAGGGGCCTCCATTGGTAGTTGCACCCCGGCCCCCTGAGACTTAGATCCGGCACTGGCGAGACATCTAGTATATATGTACAGGTATACTAATAATATTAATATATTATATATTATATAAACAAAAGTTTCTCTCTAGAGCACCCAATGAAATTATTGATATGACTATATGAGTTATAGTCACACTAACAGATTAATGAAAAAATGTAAATATGTCAGCATTAAAATTGCAGAATTCAAACCAGTAGTCACTAATTCGAGGGAGTTCTACCCACCCCAAAAGTTGCCTTAAATTATACAATATGAATATATGATAAATATATAATAAATGTCACATTGTTACTTGAAATTAAATGCTGTGCTAAAACAAAATGTACCCTTGAAAACTGTTTGCGAACCTATACCATTTAATACATAATCGTCTTAGTATAGCAATGGCCAATGTGATCGTCTTTCATTTTTTTTTAAATAATTTTATAAAACAAAACAGAACTAAAACAAAATTCATAAAAATATACAATAATGTTTAAAATTGACAAAATTAGAAATTTTACAAGCATCACTTAGTTGCCACTATTACAGTATTACTTCTATAGTTTATATTTTATAAATATTTTTAACTTATAAATGCTATTTTATAGTTGAATAAATTAAAATATATTTATTAGTATTTTTACAAGTTTTTAAAATTACCGCCAAAATGACGAAGGAGATTATAGTTAGTATGGGATCTAAATGTCTATGCGGTTCTATATGGTCCACGGTATCACTTTCTGTAAAACTACGTTCTGTGATAGTAGTTTCAGGTTTTCAACTTTCTGGGACTAAAATTCTGTGTACATATTTTATGTTCATTTTTTTTTCAATACGAAAACAATTCTGGAACATTAATTTCCAGTTATTTTATTTTCTGTAATTTTACTTTCTATTTTTTTATTTTCCGTCATTTTATTTTTCTGTAAAATTTACTTTATGGTTTTCTAAGGTTCGGCTCATTTATTTTCTGGAGGATGACGGGGCCCCGTGGTGGTAAGTAATTTTAAACTTTGCCCCACCAAATGAAATACGAGTCGGCGCCACTGGTGCCGTGCGCTCAGTTCTGCCACTTCTGCATCACATTTATGGGCGTGACTAGGATTTAATAGTTACCAGGGCTAGAGTCTTAGAAAACCAAAGTTCAAAATAAGCTGCGGGGATCAAAGCCATCCACACGAATTCATCGTCGCCGGGGCAATTCGAGCCCCTTCCCTACAATTTTGACCCCAGGTAGCATGTTAAGCTCAAATAAAGGCGCCCCTTACTTTTACAAAACTATGGCTCCCGGGGGCAATTGCCTCCTTGCCCCCCTTAATACACAGCTCTAGGTTACATACTTACATAATATCTTGTATTCGTATTATTATAATAACCTTTCTTGCATTGCGCTTAAAATAAATAAAACCAAATAGGTAGGTTCTTTTATGAAATTGTTTTCGTAGAATATAGTCTGGTTGTTGCATAGAGCACAGGTAATGCCTTTGCCATGATCGATGAGCGACAGAGGCGTGACAAAAAATTGTTAGAGTGGCTCAAGCGGGTTGGCAATTTCAGTCTTGGGCGAAATGCTGCCCTCGACTAAAATAGCTCACTTCCCGCCCTCACCACACCAGCACTGAAAGTTTAATTTTCACTATACCGGTTGTTTTATGGTAAATACTCAAATACCTCCATTCCCGGCTGTAAAATATCTTGGACTGACTCTCGACCGCCGTCTTACCTGGGCGGCAGGGCTCTGCTGTACAGTAGGTTACAAGTGGGTCACTGTATAATGGATGGTATTACATTTGAATTCAATGATATATCATTGTATACGAAAAACGATTCTAAGCGGAGACGGTTTGTCAGTCTAGGTATAAGACATATTATATACATATCTATGGTAGTAAAAAAAATTTAGGTACCTATATAGGTTATATAGCTATAATAAATTCCAAATTAATCATATCACAATATCCATTAGGTAGGTACTTATAATGCGTTATACATCAACAACAAACCCTGATACTATCATAGTCCATACTCCATAGATATATAATAGTGTACTTTAGACGTTTCAAGTACCTACCCACGAATAATATTACACAATCACAACAAAATTACTAAAATAGTTATTCTAGGTTTTTTATGTAGTTTCGTCCTTTTTTTTTTTTTTGCAGTTTTGAACCGACGGCGTCGCGGGAACTGCTTTCGCATTCTTCCGCGAGATGTAGTTTCGTCCTTATTTGAACTTAAAATGACTATAAAAATAAACTTAATAAAATTCGATTATTTCGAAAACAGATTTTAGTGTAAAAATTCCTGTTATTCCTTAATTTTTATTTTGTTTTTCACGTCGCTTTTGAAAACTACTGGAAAATTTTCACCCCGCTTTTGACCCCCCAAAGTACCAACTAGATTCACTTTCCTATCAGAAAAGCTACTGTTGAAGAAAATCCAAGCACTTTTACTGTCCTAAAACGTGATGACAGACACAAAAAAAATTAAAAATTAAAAAAAAAACACACGCATCATTGTAAAATCAATACATTCGTTTCACTCAGAATCAAAAACTAGGGCATGCAACAGTTGCCCCCAAAAGTACCTTTTTTATACCAATTCCCCTCAAACTACCTAGAGCAAAATGAATCAGTTGCCCTCAACCAAATGTACCAGTTGCCCTCATATGTTATATAATATATACGTTTAAAATACCTATATAGTCCGTAAAATAGGGGAGGTAAATATACAAATAATAATTATAAATAGTAATTATTATAAAAAAACATAGTACATAATATTATATCTAATTATTTTAGTTTTTTTTTTTTGTGACAAATTATCACATTGAATATGCCGGATTTTCATTATAATTATATTATTTATTATGAATTTTTCATTTTATACTATTTTTTTGTTGAAAAATTATAACATTGAATGTCACATAATTATAAAATTTATTATTTTATCGACTATTGTATTCATATTATTATTTTATTAGTAATTATTATTTATTAGAAAATACAATATTAGCCATATATTAAAAACATATGAATTTTTTTCCATCATTTTCTACTATTTTAAATAGTTTTATTTATTATTTGTATAATTACCTCCCCTATTTTAAGGGCTATATAATGTAATCTTGTTTACAGTATATATTAACATGTAAGGGCAACTGGTACATTTTTAAAATCCCAATAACAGCCATGGGGGGGCAACTGGTCAACACCCAAAAACTACAGTTAAACTCTCGTTTAGGAATGCTAAAAACTCTAATCAAAAACAAACACTCAAAATTAAAAATTAAATTACTTCTATATAAATCTCTCCTAAAGCCAATTTGGACCTGCGGCCTACAGGCTTATGGGGCAATCGACAATGCAAAAAGCTCCTATCTAAATAAAATACAGAGGTTCCAAAATATAACACTGAATAAAAACCATACATAACCTACACTCACCCAAATCCACTTATTAAAAACTTAGGTTCATTATGACATCGCGGGAAAATAAAAATAAACATTTATTATTCAATACTAACAAAATGAAGAAAGAATGAACATTGAACAATTTTTTAATGCTTTTAATTTATAAAAAGCAGGTAAGTAGATGTTCCTCTGCTGTACAGTAGGTTAAAAGTGGGTCACTGTAATGGATGGTATTAAATTTGAATTTTTATGATATAATATCATTATTATACGAAAAACGATTCTGAGCGGAGGGATATTATATATTATATTAGGTATACCTATTATTATTATTAATATTTAATACAATAGCCTTTAAGTTGAATTAAATCATTTCAAATTTGTATATTAAAATAATACATACTTTAGAAGTTTCTAGTACCCACGGATAATATTTTTAAAATATAACACAAAACTAAAATTTCTTTTTGTCGTTTAAATATCTAATTTCATCTAAACTTGAACATAAAATAACTATAAAAAAAAACTGTTTTTATATTTTTTGGTTACAGAATAACCTACTTACATGGAATCTCGTTTTAAATTTTCAATCCTTAGCTATAAAAGTTAAAAAAATTGTGTATATGTATTTTTAATGTTTTTTATCACGCCTGCACCGAGAGTTTGGTTTTCGATAGCGGTTTAAATGAAGTAAAGCGTCCTTTTCTATCCAGAGGGGCGGTAAAGTGGAAATTCCAAAAAGTGATGGGCACACATATCACGCACAACCAGACACTGAAATCTATACCACGGTCCTTACAAAACAAACTTTTTTTTATACTTTTAACTATCAGAATCTATAATTTTAGGTATATCTGCACTTATAATAAAGATTGTTTTTATTAGGCAATGTAAATAAATGAAGAAAGTATATGTTACTAATATATTACCAGTCCTATTTAATTTTCATTCACTGAAATTAAGTATATTCTTACAATATTTAAACCAGTTGATTATATATGAATACATTGTTTTAAATTACATCTATAGATCAATCGTTATTAACAATATTAGACAAACTTTTTATCAAATCTTTATTAACTATAATCCAGGTAAAAAAACTTAAAATCATTAATTTTCTAAAGAATCATTGACATCCAAGCAGCAATTAATAACATACCCCCAGTGGGTGTATATTTGTTGAATGTTTTATCTCCTGTCAGTCCGTTGTAATAACATGTACCACAAAATATTAAAGTTCCACTAATAAAGAGTGCCCCAGTCTGAAAGAAATAACATTTTAATAACGTAACAACACTTAAAAACATTCATATTATTATACTTACAATTCTAGGAAAACGACAAAATGGTACACCAAATAATGCAAAAGTATGGTAAAAATGATACCGATTTGCTGTTTCAAAATTTCTTATTTCTTCAGGGTTAGCTTTATGAGCTACAACTAAAAACAAATATGATTTGAATTAACATAAATATTATAGGTAGTAGCATGACTAAATAAACAAGCATTTCAGCAAAATCGTTCTGCACATATAGTGTTCCCTAGATATGGAATAAACAAGATCTTTATCAACACTCTAATGTATTTGTGGTGTAAATTATCATTTATTCCAAGCGAGCCCTGATCAAGGGGGGTCCAGGAGGGGCACGGTATCGGGGCCCATGGTTATCTCCAAAATATTTTTTTTTGATGCGTTCAAAACAATTTCCAAAAAAATAAAATAATTTATTAGGTAGTAATAATAATTATAAAATAATTTATTAGGTAGTAATAATTATAAAATAAAATTGTTCTTAATTTTATATCACAAAAAATTATTAAATTATAACAAATATAAAATTTATATTCCATGATGAAGTTTATAAAATGGGAGTTGTGAACTAAATTGTAAGTATAGATGTTAGTCTTAATTATCTATGATAGACAATGATGATTGTACGTGGTAATATAGTACAAAATTATACAGTCGTATAAATGTAGGGATACAATTTTTTGAAGTTAAAGTTAGTTGAAAGGGGGCCCACTAAGTGTATGGTGTCCAGGAGCCTAATTGATCCTTAATCATAGATATAACTGTAATAGTGACAAAGTGAAATATTTGGAATACTTAGTCATTTTTCATTTTTACTTACCATGAGCACCATAAGCTCCTAATATAACAGCAGATGCTCCTAAAAGGCCGGCCATTTTATAGATATAGATATTTTTTCCAAGCATTTGAAATATATTTTGATTCTCCATCTTCATAATTTTTTGTTTTTCACTAGAACTTGTTATTCCAACCCAATTTAGCTACAAAATTATATAAATTAAAAAATTAGACACGAAACAAATTATTATGATGCCCTTCAGCAACAACAGAAATTAAATTAATTTATCTTGGACATAAATGACAGATAAAAAATATAAATTAATTTAATTTCAATGAAATAATTAATTAGGTTTATCCAACAAGCATTTTTAAAACAAATAGTAGGCATATCATAGCTTAGGGTTTCAATACAATTTAATTACATGGTTTTATATCAATAGAACAAAATATAATATGCAATTAACGTTTATTTAATATTATATATTATCTTGTAATTTGTATATTATTGTTAATAAATAATATACCTACAGGATGATTATTTTGGTGCAAGACACTCATTAATCATAAAACTATCAACAACGTTTCATTTATATTTGATTTTATTAAAAATATTTTTGAAACATTTAATATCTATATTATTTACTTAATCATTTTTAATTTCATATTCCAAAGCAGATTATCGATACTTTGATACGTAGACATCAAATTTCAAACAAGTAGTTAATTTGATTAGAAGTATAAAAATACTTTTGAAAACACATAGGTAATTTACTCAATTAAAAATTAAACTGTATGCAGCTTAAGTTACTGAAAACAAATAAATTTACAATATGGAAAATTTATACATTGTCCATACATACATAGCAGCAGTTCCCAACCCATGTACCTGGAGCCCACTTGTGGAGTCGCGAAGGGTAGTCGAAAGTGTAAACTGTAAGCCGAGTGTCAGCAAATTTTAATTGGCATCAAGGTCAACATTTTTATATGATTTTATACACGTCTATATTTTTTCTATTGTCTTATTTCTGTTTATATTTTATACCTGTATATTAAGTAAGTGGGCCTCAAAGATTTTTAAAATAATTGGTGGCGGTATAAAAGATTGGAAACCACTGGTCTAAATGTATGTAAAGCCAATATAAAATATTCTCAACAGTAGACATTTTTTAAAATCAGAGCTATAACCTAGGCTAACAGATAAACAGATCTCTTATGGCAAAAATTCATCAATGTTTACTTGCCATTGAATTAAACCCTTGTACTGAGTTAGTAACGACTGGATTCGTATATGTAATCCATTTAACAGCTCCTTGAACTGAATCAGGAATCATAATATACAACCTGAGTAAACAATAAATGCTCGTTGAATCAATAACAATAATCTAATTGAGAAATTCTTTATATTACAATTAATTAACTTACAAATCACGAATAAGATATTTTGGAAGCAAAAACCAAATAATAATTTGTTACAACCAAACTTGTTACTTCGCTTGTTACTATAAAATCATTCAAAATTGGCAATCATAATACTGCTCAATATAACAATTATGTAAATAGCAAATAGGTATTTAATTTATTCACAAAACTCGCACTACACAGTATTATAGTAGGAAACAATTTAATTAAATTCTAATTAATACATTTCAAGTGTTCTTCAGCATTATGTAGCACCCTAATAAAATTACTACTGTAATAATTTACTATACCTATAGTTGATAGTTTCATCTACTATAGAGTATAGACTATAGATAATATAATATTATTATTAAGAACAAAGAGTAGTTCTGTATAAACATAATATTGTACTTTTGAGTTTTGTTGTTTTTTTTATTATCAAGGATTGTTTATCATTACAGTGTAACCAAGATAAAAAGTTACGTTTAATTCACGGACTTAGATATCATAGTCCGTGGTTTAATTTAACCGTCAATATTATAACGTTCTTCGATAATATAACTACAGGTTACCTGTTGGCTGTTTTCCAGATAATAGTAAATACAAAATTACATGACAGAAAAACGTCATGCGAAATTACGAAATGTCCAGTAAAAACTAAAAATTCTCTTGTACAAATATATAATTATTAAATAATTAAATATAAAACAAAATTACCGTTTGACAATTTGGCGTTTAATATATTTTACCATTACGGTTTTACCTGTACATAAAATACAAGCATACATTAAAATCGTAAATTCTAATAACTATATTAACTAATCTGACAACCATTCCCCACTAATCACTTGAAACACCCGTCCATGTGAAATGTGAATAACCCATTCTTTATAGAAATAAATAATAAATAATAATGTAATAATATGTACCATAATTATATTATTTTTGTTGCACAACCGTTTTTCCAAAAAAAGTTTAAAATTAACTTCCAACAGTAACTCGTTACTCGTATTTCGTACAATCGTACATGGTACATCAATAAACTGTCAATTCACCTTATCTTTATCTTGTACATAAAGTTGTAAATTCGTTTATTGAAATTGAACAATGGACATTAGTGGTGTGCATCGCGCAGACTGGGAGCGACGAAGAAAAATACGACTAGCGCAGGTAAATATATTATGCTTGAATCATATTATAATGTCAATGACAATAATTACTTTACGATAAATATTCACGGATTAATAAATGACAGGTTAGGGACCAATCTAAAACATTAGCTAAGACAATACGTGATCGTGTCCACGGGGCTGTTGCAATTCAGTTGGATCAACGAGAGACGGCGAGAAATATAACAGAACATAAATTTAAATCCCTGGCTGTAAACAAGTTGAAAAGTGATTTTAATTACTTGATACAAGATGTTGGCAACGGTTACTCAGTTGCATCAGTTCAAGTAAGATAATTATAAATTATTATCGAATCTCAATGAGTTTGTTTCTCATTTTTTTATACAATATTTAGCAGGATCCAAATATAGTATTGGCCGAGAAGCGATTGATAGACCGTTGTAAAGCTATATCAAGAGGTGCTGAAGCAGATAAACGGCGACAACGGATTGAAGAAGAACAGCGGATGGACAAAGAAATGAGAGATAGAAGAACACATTTCAATAAGACAGTTGAAAAAATACGGTCAACACTAATAACAAGTGTTCAAAATGTGTAAATACTAAATATTAATCTACTAAACATATATTATTTCTAAGTAATTATTAATTTATTTCAATAAACAAAATTGCTTTTAATTTTATAGTGACGATGATAATACTCACAGACGTAATATAAAAGAACACAATGAATGTTTCTTTATTCCAAGTCAAGTAACTTTGAATGAATCAAATATCATAAATCGGAATTTTAATAAAGTAAAATTTAAAAAACTGAATATTTAATTTTAATTATTTTGTTCTGAACTTACTAATTAATATTATTTTTATGTAGAAATTTTCAAAACCTTGGTCAGTAGTTATTAGTTCCAAAGAAAATCAAAAGGAGAAATTACAACAATTAACCACACATGATGAAAATAAAGAAAATGTATCTACATTTTCAAAGTTGGAAACAGATTTGAAAACCTATGAAACATTAGTTTTAGAATTAAATAAATTATGTGCTGAAGAACAAAACATTAGCAAAAAATTATTTCCCGATAACTTAAAAGTGTGTTTACATTTATTCTTTATTTTCCATTATAATATTATCTTATCATATTGTAAATTAATTCATATTTGTATTATTTTTTTTTGTGTACATTTTAAGGAAATTCCTATGGCATGTCAAAATAATGAACCATCCGAATCTAAAGGAAAAAAGCAAACAAAAGAAATTACTAGAAAAAAACACAATACATCAAATGAAAGAACTAAGCTTAATGAAACTAAAAAACAGATAACTGGTAAGTAATATATTTATTTAATATTTTGTTTAAGAGTTACATCCGTACTATGGTGGGCTTCTGCGCACATCGATATCAATGGGTATGGCCGTATGGGTAACATGTATCATGGTTGATGGAGCGTCACTTTGTTATTTCATCAATTGCCTAGCTTACATTTTACTTAGATAAGCATAGTAAAACAATTTTTGGCGAAAGCCGATTGTTGGGAATGAAAGGTGATGACAAAAGTATGAGTTTATCAATAAGTGTGGTCTGATATATAAAATAGTATATGATACAAGTATAGATCCGCCCATGAAAAATTTTAAATTTTCAAATTGTCACATTTTGTTTTGTAATTTTAAATAATAAATAAGCCTAAAGATAAACTTATTTTTTCATTTTATACTAAGTGAATTCACTCTAATCTTAAAAATAACAAAGTTAAATGGATTATTGTAGATGTAAAATTAACCATTTTGTAAGTTTGTAAGACACATGCGGTATTTTTTTGAACTTATATTTAGTCAATATATTTTGTTTTTATATTTTAGAAATTAGACTTGATGAGTCAAATGCGTCTACATCTATATGTATATCGTCATCCACATCAACCAGTATTAATTATGAACAACCTCCAAAGAAAACTATTCATTTTGAAAAAGAATGCAAAAAAAAGAACCTAACCAGTACTAAATATGAGCAACCTTCAAAGAAAACTATTCATTTTGAGAAAGAGAGCAAAAAAAAGATTATACAACCAAGCACCAAGTTAAATTATAAAGAAAAATTTGCTTCTGGAAAACCTTTACAAAATATAAACAATATAGTGCAAAGAATTAAAAACAAAAAACAACTGCTTGTAAAAGAGATATCCGCTGGTACTAGTGGAAATACAGGTGCTAATATCAAACAATTAAAGACAGTTCCTTCAATTCCTAAAATTTTACCTATACCTAAAAACTGTTGTACTGGTAACAGTTTACGAGAGGAAATTCCAGTAAATTATGCTAAACTTCCAGATTCATTTTACAATGGTCAACTTGATACATTAAAAAAACAGATATCAAAAAAACAATTGAAAGTTCTTGATTCCAAAAATAATAAGTCAATAAATGAAGATCTAATGGCACACATAAATACATTATTAAAAATGTCACCTTCAGACGTGGATAACTTATCAACTTCATCTTGTTCAAGCGTTAAATTTGATGAAAGTGTTTTACAGCATTCAAAAAAAGATACTCAATATTACTGCAAAATGTTGAACTGTATATCAAAATGCTTAAATGCAGATATTTCTGACATAAATCAAGACACAGTGTTTGATTCTCCCAAAAACATAAACTTATTAAATAAACTTCAACAATTAACAAATTATTATTTAGAAAAAACTCATGAAATGAAAAATATCTGTGATGAAACTCCTCAAGTTCTTAATGATGAATGTCATAAGACTAATTCTAATACTAATAAAGAGTGAGTTATTAATATTTGCTTATTATTGTGTTGTAATCAATAATTGTGACATTTTGTTTTAGGAAGAGTTCTATCAATGTATCTTCAGACTCATCAGTTGATGGAGAATATATATTAGGAAATTTAAATAAATTATTACAGGAAAAAGGAATTATTAATTCTGACAAAGAATGGCCAATGTTCAAACATATTGATGATGATGATGATAGAAGTTTAACTGATCAACTTCTTGATATATATCCATGTAGTTCATATGATAGATGAAACATATTTTTAAATTACTAATTGTTTGAAAAAATTTAAAGGTAATTATTTCTATAATTTTGATGATAAGAATCCTTAATCATTTTAAAAAATTTCATCTGCCGAACTTATATTAATTTAGCAGCATACTAAATCAATTAATAATAATATATGATCTCACGTGATCACAAACATTTTTTAATAACTATATTATTAACTACTAATTTAATTTTATCATATATTTTAAAATATTACTAACTTAAATGACAATTTTTTAGTTGAAACTACTTAACTAAAGTAGTTGTGTACATATTTAAAATTATTACTTTTTAAATTCTTAAAATTATCTTTCATATCTACTTTCCTTTTTTAATTTATAATTATAAATATTCATAAATTATATAATTTTTAATCCTGAGTATTCAGTAAATGTGTAATAATTACTTATAAATTGGAATTTACTATTTAGAAAAAGTTTTAAAGTTGTATTAATCATTATCATACACAATTATTCAAATGATTGTATTATTTTATTATACTATTTTGCTTTTGCATTATGATTTGTGGTTGTATTCAGGGGAATACTTTCCCCATTTTTTTTTTTTTAATTTGATTTTAAAACATTTATATTAAAAATGTATAAATATATATATATTTTAATATATTCCTTTCGATGAAACAAATTATCTTGGATTTGACTATGTTATAAAGGAAGTTATTCAAATTCTAATGATTTGTAATTTCGTGTCAATGAAATAAAAAAAAATTATGTTATGTTGTTTTTACTATTATAGTAAATACTAAATAAAAAGTTACAAATATTTATAACAATATAATTGTATGGTAATATAACATTTTTTTCATTTATTTGCATTAATGTTCATCATTTTAATGATAGTAACATTACGATATTATAAGCTTGTAAATTACTTGAAACTAACAGATGTTTAAAGAAACACAAAATACAATAACTAAATTGGTTTTGTTTAAAAGTGTATTCACTCTAAAAAATAGTATTGGTGATATGTTTTTCCTCAAATTATTTACATATAAAGAATTTAAGAAAAGCAGAGTGACTTCACTGGCCTTGCTTGCCATAATCACAGAATGACCTGATAGCTTTGCATAGTTACATGTATTGTATACAAATTAGGCACTTCACATAATGAGTTATTCAATCCTCCATTTTAAAATACTAATTTTAGACACTAAAGTGGAACCAGAAATTCAAGACAACACTTAAAAAATTTTTTTAAATAATTTTTGTTGGAACACAACTTACAGTATTCCAAATATTCAGAAAAAAAAAAAGTATTAAATATTATTCTTGGTTCCGCAATTGTATTTTCATGTATGAAATGTAGTATATTATGCAGCATCTGGCCCAATAACAACATGCTCTTTTAAATTTCTCAATATTTCATGTTGCATTAATGGGAAGTAACTTTCCAATCAATTAAATTTTCTCTATAACAGATTTTTTTTTCTTGTGCATGTAGAAATTTCATTGTAATTACTTATCATCAATCGACCAATTATACTCAAATAATTATTTAATATTAAAAATGTGATGGTAAGAGTATTTTGCATAAATTAAGGCATTTTTCCAAAAATATAGTAATTTTGGATGAATATTAGGTATGACTAAAATATTTCTATAACATTTTAGTCTAAAATGTTTAAATATATAAACTTATAATATTAGTATGTTACCTATGATTATTGTTATACTTATAGTATAGGGTTATCATATATTATGTAATTATTTATGTGTGACATTTTAAATTAATTTTTGTATTGTTTGAACATAGGTAAGCGGCATGCACTTAGTAATATAAGAATTTTATCTGTTCGATGAATTAATCAAGTTATGAAGAAATAAGTATTAAAACCAATTTGTATAAAGTATTACATAGTACATACTTAGGTGTATAAAAATTTTAAATTTAAAACAATTTTTTAACTTTTGGAATCTGAGCTTTTGTTTTGTTTGTTATAATTTAAATATCTATAATATAATCATAACATTTATTCAATTTTCTTTTTGAATTCAAAATATATTTAGGTCAATCTTGTACATGTCAAAAACAATTTGTGCAACAATACAAAGGCAACAAGAAAAATGAATCGCCGCTACAACGTCCATTGGAGAATATAAATGAAATGTTAAGCTGGATCAAAATGAAGAAACGTCGTTTGTTTGATGAAATTTATACAAGCCAAACACCTATAAATGATATACAATCAATGAGTACTAAGAGTGATACATTCAGAGACCTGCCAAAGGAAAGTCTTAACTATGTAGGACTACCAAATTCATTTTATAATAGTACGCTGAAAGTATTAGAGGAATATGTGAGAAATAAAAAACAAAAAAAGAGTAAATCAAACAATAATAACAACTGGATTAATATAGAATTGATGAGATATATATGCAATTTATTAAAAATGTCGCCTAACGAAATAGAAAATCTTTCAGTGTCGTCAAACTCTGGTATTCAATTAGAACAAAGTATTTTAGAGATTTCCAAATCCAATTTGGAGTATCATAAAGACATTTTGAATTATATATCAAAGTGCTTGGACAGTAATCTGAGTGACATTAGTCGAGACCAGGCTTTTAGTTCGCCTCAATACATCGGTTTGTTAGATAAGCTATATAAGCTTGCCGATTATTACACAGAGAAGGCACAAGAAATGCGAAACATTTGCTTGGAGTCTCCTAGGGTCGAGATTAATAGCTTAAATGAAGATTCCGTCGAACAAATTACAGAGGACAATCCCAGGTGAAAATTTTATTCAATTTAGTTGGTTAATTAAAATATAACAATGTAAACGATATTAATATATTTTACTTCCAGTAGTTTAACTTCAGAATTGTCTGTTGATGGAGCATATGTTTTGGATCATTTGCGTACACTATTAGAACAAAGAGGATTAATTTGTGCTGACAGAGAATGGCCTATTTTTGGAAATGATGACGAAGATGATAGCAGAAGCTTAACGGATCAGCTTCTGGATATTAAACCACAAATTAAATCTAAAGATATTAAAGTAGAACGTTCTGAAAAAGGTAGCTAATTGATGAAAATATTGTTAAATTGTATGGTCAAATAAATTAATGAATGGTAATCATTAATTTATGAAAATGAAATGAAATAAATTGTTTATGTAAATGTCACTAGTTAGATTCCAAAAGTTAAAATTGGCTTACCAAAATACCATTTAAAATATACAATTTTTTAAATATGTTTAAATAACTTATATTCAAATTCAGATTTTAAAATTTTTAAATACACCTAAACTTTGTTTTTCAAACGGGAACCCTTCTTTTCCACTAATTATTTACCAGTTATTTATTTTTGAGAATTTTCATGTATCTTAATCAAAATTCAACTTAGTATACTCTTCTCAGAATAAGATAGCCAAAGTTTGATTACCGGTTTTCATCCAGTCAGATGCTTCTCCCACCTACTTGAGTTGTATAACAATTTGTAAAAATAATTTAAGTATGATTACTACATCTAATAGTACATAATATAATTTTAAAAAAATTGTAAAACCATATTATTTAAGGATTTTAATTTAAATGCAACAGTATTTTCAAGAAAATCACCTGGTAAATATTTTACAGTTAAAAGGGAGGGTTCATAATTGAAAAATGGAAGTTTGTATCGCCACAGGACACTGCTTAATTAGCACAAATGGTATCAGGAATTTGAAAATATCTTGATATAAATAATTTTAAAAGTTAGAATTTGAATAAAAGTATTATTAAAGTAAAATGGTGGTTAGCATTTTTAAAAGATCACTGTTATGATCGAATAAATAATGATTAAAAAGAAACTATTAATTTTTTATGTTAAATCCTAGTAATTGCAGAATTCCATACCTAAACAGCAATTATTGTCAAGATTGTGAAGACCTAAACCATAATTATACTAATATTTTGTTATTAATAAATGTTATTTTAACCACTGACATCAGTCCTTTTTTTTAAGTACTTCTAACTAAATAAGAAGTTACTTAAGAACAATCCTTGTCTTGACAATCATTCATGGTTTTGTATTTCAGTGTTCAAATAGAAAATGTCTTAATACAATGAAATACATAAGTTTTGAATATCTGATACTATAAAATTAAGTATATAAAAAAAATTCAATTTTATGATATAACCATCTCTGATCTATTTTTCTCTTTTTTTCTTTTTAATTTTTCATACATTGATATCATGATGTAGTTAAACCATTAAACATAAAAATATTAATGAAAGCATAATATTACAAAAGTAAAGAGGATAATATATCTCAACACTCAATCCAATACTTTATTTACATAGCTTAAAAATCTTTGTGTACTATCTAAACATGTCTTGTAAATATATTTACACAAGATTATTTTGCTCAAAAAACTCCTTAATTTACAGAACATCATCATCTAAAATACAGAGAAAAATATAATATAGTTCGCGTAAATATATTTTTATATAATAATAATAATAATAATAATAATAATAATAAGTAAATCGAAAATAATTTCATACTTAAGTGGTTCCAACTAAATTAATTTTTTTTTTAAACGATTAATATTTTGTTTTTATTTTTTATAATTAAAGACAATGAAAAAGAACATAAAATCATTTCTAAAATAGCTAATAACCAACTATATATAAAAACATGATGAGCACGACTTACAACAATTCTTGAAAACTATGGGAAGCAAAAAAAAAAAAAAAAAAATTAACAAGTGAAAAAAAAATCTTACAATGTTTAAAGGATATAAATTTTTCATAAAACTAACCAACTAAATCCACGAAAATAAAAAGAAAAAAAACATTGATTTATATACATTTATCTATTGCACAGCGACTACGCTCTTCAAAAGTGTTAATAAAAATTTATAATGTTCTCCTCCTCCTTTGACAAATGGAAAAAAATGTGTCAATCGTGAATTTGAAAACAGGTAAGGCTTCAAAAATCAGCATTAGAAAAATAAAATTACTATACCTTTAATTAAATTAAGAATGTACACTTTATGTTGTTATAAAACTACAGTGGAAGTTTATTTATACTTTAAATATATATATATAGATGCATATATTTTATTATATTGGTACATTCATTATTTTCATGCGCTTATTAAGTGTTAAATTCAATTTTTATTCATATATTAAATCTTCTGAATTTTTTCTCCAACAACTACTGGATTATTGCGCCTGATTTCTTGTGCTCCTAGCCCCCTGTAGTCAAATGAACAATTGTGCTTGTCGGAGTATCGATGGATGCCACAAAACAAGCCGCCACAACGGCATTCAAAACCTATAAAATAAGAAAACAACAATGTAATGGATTGCTTAACATTTATCAATATAAATTAAGTTATCAATATACAATATATACTACTAATTAATGTAAAGAAAACAATTGACTAAAATGAAGGATCAAATTCAAATTGATTTTTTGGAATTTTAATATAAATCGTGTGGTTCAAGTAAGGGAAAGAGCATTAGGTATAGAACAAATTAACGTAAATATCAGGATATTATTATTACGGGAATAGAAAGAAGTAATTTGATGAATCACTCTACATATTTTAATACATGCCAGTTTTATATTATAAACAAATTAATTTGATAAATTGATTTTTTTTCCTAATAGTTTGGAGCACATTTTAAAGATAAAAATGTAAGCCAATCAAGTTTGGTCTTAAAATTTAGTTTTTAGTTGAAATTAACTTTTTCTAGAATAGTTTGTCGAATCTATACTCTGTTGAGCGAGATATCATGCCATAAAAATTGGTTATTCTGCATTATCCCCATGCAACATCCTGCCAACTAGACTAGTTTCATTATGGCAGGATGCCGAGTTGGGGTGCACAGAAGGACCAATTTATGTCTATTCGCAGTGACCTCACTGAACAGAGTATGATATTATTTTTTTTCAAACTTTGATACACCTGTTGCCCCTAGTATCTACTTATCTGCCGTCATACTGATGAATTAATTGTATGACATGATATATATTTGTATCATACTAGGGGCTCTGCTCGCCAAACCCCCACTTTTAACTCATAATTGTCATTTGTTTTATTTTTTTTTTTAGTTGCCATACCAATTATATTCACTGAAACATAAAAATTCCAATACTTTTTTTTATATAATAGATATTATATATATGTATTGTATATATATATCAGAATGTTATAAATTAAATTTAAGCTTTATCTCTACCTGTAAGACCGACTTTTTTGCGGCACATGGCACATCGGTTTTTCTTTTTAGACTTGTCTTTATCGTCATCGTCATCTTTTTTACCATCGTCCATGAGACTGCTGTCATTAGAACTGCATGCCAAACCATTGTCCATCTTTAAAAAAAAATAATAGAAATATAATATATTAAAAACTATTATTGTATAATTTATTGGTAAATGGATATTTACATCTTTTTTTGAGTCAGTGGGCAAAATTGGAGAGGCGGATACAGGTGGAATCTGCAGCACTGGTATGGTAGGTATAGCAGTCTCCATCATATTCTGAGCGGAGACTGAAGGTGGCGATGGAGCTGTTTGTGGTGGTGTCTGTTTCTTTTTCAGTGCTTCTTTATAGCACAGAGAGCAAAGACCATCTGTAGATGGGTTACCATAGAAGCCACATCCACCACGACACAAAGCCTGCATGGAATTGGATTCTCGCTCCATTGTATCAAGAAATTGTTTTATGCCGATTAATGATAATCTGAACGGCTTTTGATAGCCAACAGAAATTATCTACATAAAAAAAAAAAAATTAAAATAATGTAAACATTAGTTGCTAAGTAAATTATAAATAATTCAATATGTCTATACTAATTGAATAATGTTAAAAATCACCAAAGAATATTTATATTTCAATCAATATTTTTAAGATTTTACCATCAGTATAGGTACTCTAAATAAAAGAAATATAAAAACTATTATCATGATATTTTAAATACTGCAATTTTATAAAATTATTATTAAATAAATAGAACTCTACTACATAAAATTACATCACACAATAATTACCAAATTATTTGTTTAAAAAATACTAGTAAATAAGGGTTATTATGACAGACATTACAAAAAAATGTGATGATAAATGCTTCTTGAAAGTAATATAATGATTAATGACTAATAGTCACTTATATAAACATAAAATTGTAAAACGTTCTAATAATTAAAAGCTAATGCTTATAGGGGATGTGTTTAACTAGTAACACCATTGATCATGTTTTAGTTAGTTGATTGGTTACAAAATAAACAATATTAGTTATATAATCATACTATTGTAGTATAGCTATATCGGTACCTAATGCAAACATTTATTTTTTCCATTCATCCTAAAGTATATCTTTAATTTAGCAAAGAATTTTACTTGAATATCACTACAAAACTCGGCATATAACCGGTTTTATATAAATATATTATATTCAGCTAGTTGAACCTTGGATTTCATGGACAATAAAAACTTTAAAATAACAATACAACTAAGAAAATTAAATTACATTTAAATCTCGTCTATTTATCTTATTGATTTATATAATTAGGTATTATCAATAGAAAAATGTATTTCAGTATTCAGTAGAAAAATGTAATTGAATAAAAACATAAATCTATCAACGAAAAATAAATTATTTTTATATGCGAGTCCTTTAATTAAAATTCGTATTTTTAATATGTTGCACAACAGCCGAGTTACAGGTATATTATTAGGTCTAAAAAGTTTATATTTCATAAAATATCAAGAAAAAATTATTTTAAAATTGAAACTACGCGTTTTCATCTCAAAATTTGATAACAAGAGTTTTCTTTAAAATAAGTGCTATAATAATTATTAATTTGTCCAAACTAGTAGCCAATTCATACACTGTACTCATTTACGGTGTTCACGTGATTACAAAGATAACCTATTCGAGTGAAGTATATAATCCATTCTTATTACGTATTTAAAAATTAAAGAAGCATGTGATACATTCTTATTACGTATTTATATATTTTATAATAATATTATTATGTTTAAGCGTCTTATACTATACAGGTAATATAATACGTTCAAGGGGATTGAAAATGGTCATATTCCTTTTTTGTCTAACGCATGCGTAACATCAAAATTTATATGTCGTATTTTCAACGTACCGATAAATTTGGTGAAGCGATAAGAATTCTGAAAACAGATTCAAATTTGTCAAAACGTACAAAATCTCAAATACAAATATCTTTTTCGAATTGATATCGCTGCACTGCTGAACTAGATCAAAGGGTACTGGAGATAAAACTTATCTAAAAATCTGTTGAACGGTTGTTTGGCTTAAGGGGATTGGATACCGTAATAATTGTCAGTATTTGTCTAACACACACGCAACATAAGATTTTCTACTAATTTTACTTCAATCAGTCCAGTCGTTGTATTGATGCAATAAAAATTCTGAAAATTAATTTGAATTCAGCGTGAAGACTACTAACTTGAGATCGGTCGGGCCACTTTTCAGTTTTATTTAATAATATTTTTTAAACACTACAGGATTTTATATTTTTCAAAAAAATTAAATCAAATTGTGGAATTTTTAGGGAAACAATAAAAAATGTAATCCAACCGAAGAAGTCTTTAAACTGAATTCAAATAAATTTTCAGAATTTTTATTGCATCAATACAATGATTGGACTGATAGCAGTAAAATTAGTAGAAAATCCTATGTCACGCGTGTGTTAGACAAAGACAGAAAATCACGGTATCCAATCCCCTTAACAGAAAACCACTATTTTAAATCAACTCAATTATAAACTATTTAATAACTAATGGTAATATGAATAAACAGCACGTTTTAAGATAGTACCATCATAAATCTTGATAGGTATATTTATCTGCTTTTATGATTTATATACTCTGGTAATTCCAAAATTATAGTAAATATAGTAAGAGTTTTGTTTACACTAGATAAGACGGCGATTGTTAAACAAGTTGATATGCAATAAAAAGAAAACCTTCATAATAATATATATTAAATATAATATTATTCAAATAATAAAAATATTACTGCTAAATTAACTATAAAGGAATATAGTTCTTTAATATTTTAAAGCACGAGTAGGAAGGTAATCTCCAGGGGATTTCCTTTCACAACCTGGTGTTAACCCGAACTAACCGAAAAAATAAATGATTTGTTTAAAGAATACTGAAAATCTCGCATAAAATAATACCAGATGCCTACCAGATTGTCGATTTATGTCCGACCCTTAATCGATTAATAATTTTATTATATCGTCAATAATAATTATCCAATTGATTTATAAATTTATAAAAATTAATTTAATGAAATTCCTGGAATTATATTTAAAAGCAAACGGTTCTCGTGAAAACTAGAATAAAGCGACGAAAACCGGACGGACGGTACTGTTGAACACGACTCACGAGTCCACATCCAAGAATAAACGATTAAATGGCCACAGGCAGCGTTGCGGTAGCGCATCCGTTGCTAATTTAACCTGGTGTTGGGTATAAAAATGATAGAACCAAATCAATAATTATATGTTTTTGTTTTTAAGTTATTTGGAGCCACGAGTTACGTATAGCTTCCACAATAGTTCAGTAATATCCAAATTTTATAATAAAATATATTTAAATAATTAAATTCAGTTATCATGTATTTCAAAACAAAGTTTTAAGAACGATAACAAACGCTCCATGGTTCGTAAGGAACTCAAGCATACACAAAGACCTCAAAATTCCAACTCTTCAAGACCATATCAAGTTCTTGGCTGCGAGCTTTTTCGAATCCATCCACAAGTCAACAGGCTCATTGCACTACCACATCAACATCAGACCACCTACACAATGTCGCCTCCAACGTGGTCGCCCGCATGACCTAATTCCTCAAGAAACACTCTAACTTAAGCCTCTAACAATTATCATCATTTAACATAAAATTGTAATAATTAATTATCGCACTTAACCCGTCAAAATGTATTAATTATCCTTCATCTCTAGGAATAGATAGCAACTAGCTAGGAATACCTAATTCTTATAAAATTCAAAAAAAAAAAGTTATCATGTATCAGTATAATAACAGATCATTATACAGGGTAATTCACCATGCATGCTTACCACAAAGTTTTCATTTAATAATGAAATTATTCAAATTCTGATTTTAACTTAAAGAGAATTTCATATGTACCACTTAAGGATGTCCTAGGAGATAAGAACAAATGAGAACCTCTTCTATTCAATTTATTAACTGTATCGCCACTAAACACTCCTAAAATGGTACAAAAAATTACAAGAATTTTAAAATGCCAATGCTCCTTAACCTTAAGTATATTTAAGATTATTAAAGAAATATATTGAGAATTCTTGGTGAATCACCCTGTATTATATTTTAAAAAATCATAATATTATTATGCAATATAAATACATTAATCAGATGAAATAACAGTGATACATTATTAAATTTAATTATTTACAGATTAGTCATTTAAATAGAACGGAGTGAAACAGATAACTCTTTTTAGGACATGTACAATAAAGTATAAATGGAGTTTAGTTTTTTTATTCTATTCACCATGGGCGGTGCTACTATATATACTTGATAATGATAAGTTTCAGAATAATTATAATCACAGTACCTATAATTTGTAGTTTGTAGTTTTTATTTTATATTTTGTCATCCAAATTGAACTGAAAGTTGGCTAACTGGTTATATACATCCTGTGAAAATGTGACCAGCCTTTGTTGTAAAAAAAACCGCTTTAACAGGTGGTTATACCTTTTTTATGCTTTGGTTATGGGCAATTCAACTTCTAACAAGAAAACTAAATTTACTACACTTTTTCTGATGTATTTTCAAAACTTTTCTACTTTTTATCGTAATTTTTTTTTTTATTTTAATATATTATTTTACCGTGATATCATATGACATACACAATCAAACCAAAAAAGGGGGTTATCTTTCATAACTTAAGGTATACTATCACATATGACACAGGCTAGTCACTTCTACACATTATATAATAAAAATGTCTTAGGTATAAGCTTCAATATATTATTATAATTTGGTGATTTTTTATATTTATTTGCATACAATATAATAATATCTGACAAAATTAAAACAGTAAAAAAATTATAATATTTACCTTAAACGTCACGCAAGTGTAATTGATGATTGGTTTATCACAGGTTGTGAAACAGATGAATGATATTGCATTATTACTTTGAAATGAATGTCACGAAAACATTGGTTCTTTGATGAAGAACATCTGAAAAACAAAAAATTATTAGGAATTGTTATGCAGGTATCAAAACATTGCAGTATTTTAAGTATTAATAAATTATAGTATATGGTATATAAGTATATTTTATGTAAACTAGATACCACCTACATACTAATATTAATTTAAAAAATGTTATGAATGTATGTAAATATTTTTCCTTAATAGTTATTACTTTGTTAAAACACATGGTATTAGTAACTACAGGAAGCATCCTTCAGGATACCCTCCTACTTCTTTAAGGTATGCGAGTCCTAGACTTTATATTGTTTGTGGGACAAAAATATACATTTTTATAAAATAATAAAACAAGGTTTGTTTGAAATAAACAAAATCCTGTGGTTGTTATCTAGATTTTATATGGTAAATACAACTGCCTTCCAGTTTGAAAAAATAAATAACTGAACTATATATTAGGG